GGATTATAGATTTTTTTCTTGTTTCTTTTTTTTTAATTAAGAATCAAGAAAGTGCATTATTCTCATTTATTAGAAAACAAATAAAAGACAAAATGCTAATAAAATATATCAAATTTTGTTAATTTTTTTTAGTTTCAGAGGAAAATATTATCTATTGACATCATTAATATACAATGCAATTAGTCAAATAGATGTTGAATAGTATACCAGTATTTCCTCTCATGGCTCTTCAGACATGTTTTAAGAATTTTCTCTGCAACAAAATACTTTTGTTATGTTTTCTTGTTAAATAGTCAAATTGATTGGTTAAAACATTACAATTTATACCTATCATTACCATTACCTTACTGCGTGCATAAACCAGCCCTCAGGGTAACATTACATAGCATTGAATATGCATGACGACGGATAACAGTATAAAAATTGTTCAGTTACAAGAAAGCTGCGCGTAATGTTCACCACGAAATCTTTTCTTTAAATGCATTTTAAATACATTCAATGTAAAAAAAAAAAAAAAGAAAAGAAAAGAAAAGATTTTTTAAGGTAACGTAACAAATGGTTTTCGCGGAATAACAATTTCACTATACCTTAAAAAAATCATGAAATACTTTTATATTATAATTTAGTTAATACTACATGTACTTAATTATTCATTATTATAGTTTTTTTTTAAATGTTTCTTGTATAGATTTTTTTTTATGTGTAAACGAAGTTACATGAATAAAAGTTGGACAACACCTAGAATATAATTTCCCACAGTTATCTCTCTTGGTACTACATTTGTAGATTTGAGAAGAGACACAAGGATTGAAATCCCAATCAGATCAATAACTATAGTTTAAAAACGTTCATGTCAAGCCCCATGGAATTGGTCATTAGATCGAACACAAAGTGGTTTTAGTGAAAGGGAAAGACTAAAAAATGTTTCGCATTAAACTTGATTACAAAAAACACTTAAAACAAGACAAGATTTTAATGGCAATAAAATTGTACTGGTTTTATCAAATGATAATTTCCGTATAAAATTTTGCTTTCATATATAAAATTATTTAGATGCACCGATATGCATATTCTTATTATTCAATAATTTAAACTAGAAAATAAAGACTTAAGTCACATTCCATTTCCTCAGTCAGAATTCCGATTGTATCTTCGATTGTATACTGAATCTTGAATTAGGCATTCAACAACATCCCTTTAAAGAAACAAGCTGTTGATATGCGATAGAAATTGTGCTATATGAATCTATGGCAAGAAATATAACAAGTATTGTTTCTTCAGTTGTGTGTCAAAAAAAAGCAAGGAAATGGATACAGTAAAGAAATAGATACTGTGAAAATTAATGACAGTCTTAATCATAAAAGTTCAATCTTGCATTCCGCCAAATTTTAGGTTTAAGTCCAAGCCCTTTTGGTATTCCCAAACTGTCGCTTCCAAACTTTTCAATTATAAACAAACCTGACAGTGCCTAGATACTGAACATCTAAAACAAAATCCTCTTAAGTGTTCTTGCTCTTTCTCTTCTTTCAACTATAGTACCACTGGACACGTCATTACTGGTGATGTAAATATAGTTGAAAATGACGACCTAAAAGTTCTCATTTAAAAATTCCTAAATATAAAGAGCCCCGATCTTTCACACTGCGACAGAACTTCATTTCTTTTATGAATTCTGTCGAGGATTAATGCCAGATCATTGGCGAAATATGAATGGGAAGACTTTAGAAGTACCGTGCTACAGATATTCCAGAAGTAGTGTAAATAAAATGTGGATTCTCAAACACTTCAATGAACGTTAAGAAAATTTAATAAATCACATTTTTTTTTCAAAAGTCAGTAACATAAAACATATTACTTTTCGACACTTAATACAACCACTCCTCGCGATAAATAAAAAAAGGCTTTTTGATTTTTTTATTTCAATAAATATGGAACTCGAAAAATTGTAGAAAAAGCACTCTGATTCTACAAACAAGTAGTCTGAAGTTGATGTTAAAAGGATGCTGGAGTTCTTCGTTGACAAAATCTATGTGGTCTTTGAGACTAGGTCTTCGAATAATCTGTTGGAACTCCGATGGGCTCTGATGCGATTCCTTATTACCTGATCTGTTTATATATTCCTAAGAAGCAGATTTTTTCAAAGTCTTATACATAAGAAGAAAAAAAAAAACATGCTGTGGCCTTTAACTCCACATTCAGGTATATCGACATTTAACCAATAGTTTCTTCTATTCATATATCAACTCGATATATCTCAGTGAACTCGAAATAAAAGACATCACAAAGTCTGCCACATTTGTTTAATATTTGGATTTTTACTGACGATAACGGTCAGCTAACAACTAAACTCTATGACAATCGAGATGACGAACTTTTCCATCGTCATCATTCCTTATTTATGTAGTAATATTCCACAATCACCTGCATATGGTGTTTATGTCCCTCAACTTATTCGATACTTAAGAGCATGATCTAAATACGATCAATTTTTAAACCGAGTCAGATTACTTACAAATAAGCTGATATTATAGGGATTTCAACAACCTTGTTTAATGCAAGCATTTCGTAAATTTTATGTTCGTTATAATGATCTTTTTGCAAATGCAGCTTATCAACGGGTCGTATTTAATCACTGGGATATATGTCATACCAATTGTTACGCCATGATTATTTTAACTAAATTTGAGTACAGAGTATTCCGTCTACCTGTTCAATACATAGGGCTCACGGCGGGTGCTGATACGCTTCAATTTATATCTAGTTCTTTGTTATGACCTTAGGTCAATTTAAAGACAATTCAATTCAATTTATTCACTCAAAAACCATGTAAATGGTTACATGAGGTACATAAACATATAAAACATATATACATATAATACAGTGGGTCAAGCAAAAGGTGAGATTAATTAAGCTAGCTAGGGAGAACAGATCATACTATTAATCTTAGTAATAAATGTACATAATTTTTTCAAAGAATCAACATCATTTTGGCACATAACTTCACAAAAATTCATAGTGTTTGGCTTAGAACAAAATTTTGGGTTCAAAAAAATTTTCCTCGCTTGGTTTAAAGCACTACATTCTAAAATATAATGATATTCATCTCCTATCTGATTACTATCACATAAGCTACAGAATCTTTCACTTATTTGAGTACCATTCCATCTACCTGTTTCAATTGGAAGGTAGTGGTTTGTGGTTCTAAATTTAACTTAAGTTTTTCTAAATTTACATGATAACAGTGTTAAATATTTTTCGCACTCAAAATTGGTTTTAAAAATTCTATAATTTAAACTTTTTGAAGATTCTTGAACTTCACTATTCCACTTTTGAATATATTGATCTTTTAATCTTTGTTTGACTGCAGCAGTTATCCATTCTACATTATAGAAATATTGCTCATACCATATATTTGATAAACCACATCTGTCAAAAATATTTTGTACAAATGAAATCCAGGAGTTTATCATTTGTCCTTTATCATATTGTTTACGTAAATACATATATACAATTCTGCACAATTTGTTTTCTTTCCCATACACAAGTTTTGCCCAATATTTTACCATTCTTGAGTAAATATTTATATATAATGGAAACCGTCCAGTTTCTCCATAAATCACAGATCTACTGCTCATACGCTACCTTTATGTCAAGAATGAAGCTTTTGTTGTTTACGTCAAATATACAGCTTATTCTTTAGAGACAATATTGTAGAACCAAAACGAAAATAAAGTTTGCAAAAAAAATATAGGTAAATCAAACGACATAGATTTCAGACTCCCTCTTTTTGACATAAGCCCCCGTGTGTTAATTTTTGAGCAATCAAATATCTATTTTTAAATAATCATAATTAAAAGGGTTATTTATGAGAATCAATTATTCATAGCATATGTTGTCTTAAATGATTAGCTTTGACTGCTGTTTTACATTAATGTGCAGTTCCAAAAGTTTTAACTTTTCCCTGGGAGAGCTTGGGTACCTTGTGGAGACTGGTAGACAATAGAAAAGATGACTTGCTTTAGATAAAGACTCATAATTTCAATGGTTAATATGAAAGAGCTGTTTTGAGAAATCTCTAAATAAGAGAAATTAAATGCAGATAACATAAATAGAATCATCTAATTCCTCCTTGAGCAATATCCAAAAATTGATTAAGATTTTGCATCATGCCGAACAGAAGTAAAATTTTATTAAGGTTTTCTAAAGAAAACATTAAGATTGTTTAGTTGGAGGCAGTTGAGCAGAAATTAACGTTTTTCGAATTATTTGTCTTACAATTTCCTTTAAACCCGATCACGTTTTCCTTGTAGAAGCTACAAATGTCCATTTAATCTTTGTTTAAATTCCATTTAATCACTTAGAAGTCAGATGGTGTCTCGGCTTATACAGACATTAAGATAGAAAGTAATAGAAAGTAACAATACCCTATTTTTGTTCATTAAAATAAGAAATCGTTGATAAAGAGGCGTAAAAATATACTCCAAAATGTTAAAATTTTCACCATTTACTGATAAAAGTTGCTTAATTGAAAGAAATCAAGAAATTAACAAAACACCAACTCATCCTGGAGATAATTAAGCCCATCCTCTCTTTACTATCAGTTAAATGCAAATACCTATAAAATAGTAAAATGACACAGCTGATCAATATTGCAAAATAAGGATGATCTTACACGATACAATATTTGTCAGACTAAGGGTCTGGAGATAATTCTGTCTAAAGCACCATTCGTGCAACCAGATCAGCATTTACTAAGATTTTCCTAGTGAAATACTAGACTCTTTTCTGCGTGAAACTCTACTGGACCAAGTTATGAGAAGCGTTTCTTTCATTGCATAAACTTCAAGCTGATCCTGGCATAAATTATCACTGTTTTCTAAGACTTTATGAAGAAGCATTGAAGGAATTCACACTTTGGTGATAAAACAGCTGCATGATCATTTGAATTAAGTGTCCTAGACCAAACGTTTGAACAATGCCCTTTGGAAACCTTGAAGCAGTAAAATGTAGAGTACTGCAACCTGTCAAAGATAAAGTCACAGATACAGTCGGCAAATTAAAAAGGTAAGTTAATCATCTTCCTGAAAAAAGAAGAGTTTTACTTTAATAATTAATTCAAATCCAGTTTGCGTGCATCTACATGCATTTAAAACAATTTTGAATCAATATATACTTGATGGCCCCAACTTCTATCTTCTTTGTGAACTTGTCATGCGATGCACTTTATGTTTGTCGATGACAGAAAAGCCCAGAGTGAGTTCAGAAAGTATTCATGTTACAGCTTGCATGTAATTGCTTTCTAATTCCCACTATTTAAGATTGAAAATTGCACTTGAATTTACAATTGGGCTATTAGGGGTCATATTTAAAACTAAAAGGTTTGATTTTCTTTCAATAACTGACAAATTTGACGATAAAAAAGATGATTCACCACCACGAAAAATTCCTTTATAAATGTAATATTCTTAATGTTCTCATAATTATTATTACTACATGTATTTTCATAATTTTACTATATTTCAGTCCGTAACTTTACGTATATTTCATAAAGGATAAATGTTTTATATCTTTTTTGGCCAAAATTATGGTGATTCTGAAAATTTCGAAATTTAAAACATATAGGTACCATGGTAAAAGTGGAAGTTAAATGACTTAAAATGCAATTGGGTGACCTTGAAAACACTACATTTACGCAAGGACTTAAAACAATGCGTGAGAATGAGTGGAACGCTGTTTACGTAAATAAATTCAGTATTAAATCAATTGAAATAATAACAGGTTTCATGCGACACGAATCAAGGTTCACGTGTCAATCTACCAGTTTATCGTGCGGACATTCGAGATTTCTAAATCATGAATATTCATGAAATCTTTTTTTTTTTATTAAAATGCTAGTGCTATGCACGGTATCTCTATGTATGTATCGCAATTAATGAAAAAAAAATCTTAAATGTCTTTTAACATAGATCAATCATATTTTTTTTAACATCAATCACATAATCAAGATCAAATAAAAATTACGGAATGTATGACTTCAAAAAATCTGTACTTATGAAAAACATAACATATTGAGTAAAAAACACTAAAGGGACTACTGGGACAAAAATTATTCTCAAATTCTGACTGGCAACTCGCTAAAAGGAATAATACATTTCTTATCATTTAGGTGAAAGACATTATTCTAAAAAAAATACGCAATTAAGAAGTTTAAGGAAGAAGCATTACTGAATCCCTTGGAAGTTACTGTTTACGTAGAAGGGAAATAAAATTTCATTCCATTGTTCAGGGTCAAGCATGCTGGATTTATTGTCTGGAAGCCTGCACCCTGGAGAAAAAGTTAGATTGATTAATGCTATAGCAACGGACAAAGTTTCTTATATTGTCATGAACGATTATGAACGAGGTCTCCCGAGATTTCCACTGAATGCCATTCGTTATTCCCTATGTCATTTTCGAGTATTGTCATTTCTAAGTACAGATGTACACGGAGAATATTGGAAAAATTATTTAAAAGGTTGTTATGAGTATCTTCTACAATGAAAACTGAGATTACTGCAATCAAATTAACATTACAATGTACCTGCAAGTCCTTGTAAATTTGGAAACTTGTGTCTGAACTGATTAGCAATGTATAAATAAAATGAATGAAACTTTTAAAATTGTTTGATTACCAGTTCAACTGGAATTTTGAAAGAAAGCTAACGGAAACATGTAATTGTTTATCTTGTAGTCATCTGCATTCTTTTTAAAGAAAATCTTACCATACCCGTATCCTTCCTGAAGTTGATATTAAAAGGATGCCGGAATTGCTCATTGACAAGTTTTATGTAGTCTTCGGAGACCCGGTCTTCCAACAAACTGTTGGAATTTCGATGGGATCTAATTGTGCTTCTCTATTAACTTATCTTTTTTTTTATATTCCTATGACACAAAATTTATTAAAAAACTTCTTCATGAGAAGAAGAAACCACTTGCTGTTGCATTCAAACCGACATTCAGATATATCGACGATGTTTTATCAGTTAACATTAATTGTTTCCATTCATATGTCAATTCGACATATCCCAGTGAACTCCAAAATAAAAGACACCATAGAATCTGCCACATCTGTTTTATAATTTGTCGTTTTACTCACTACAAAGAGCCCACTAACAACTAAATTGTATGACAAACGAGATGATTTCAACTAAATTATTTGCATATGGTGTTTTTGCCTTCCAACTTATTCGATACTCAAGAACATGTTCTGAGTACGATCAATTTTTAAACCGAGACAGGCTACCGACAAATAAGTTGATCTTACAGGGATTTCAAGAACCTTGTTTAAGTTAGCATTTCGTAAATTCTATGGCCGTTTTAATACCTTCTTAGCAAATATAACCTATTATTGGGTAGTATTTTGGCTGACGTGTTTCATAACAATCGTTAGGCCTTTGTTTTCATGCTATATTTGACTACGGATCTACCGGACCAGTACATAGGACCCACGGCTGGTATGACGGATCAACTAGGGATGCTTACTCTTGCTAAGCACCTGATCCCATCTCTGGAATTTCCGAATGTCCGTGTATTATGTCTTGTTCACATATTTGTATTGTTTGTAGATTTTTTTTTTAGATCGATCAATGTTCGTTATTTTTCCCGATTTCGTCAATACTATATAATTTTCAATAAGGATAAAAAAATCCTCATAAAAAGACCTTTTGCTGGTACATTGAACGTAGTCAAATTCGACCACATGACCAACCATGTTCATTTCTTTAAAACCCTTAAGCCTCATTATTTATTAATTTATTGACATTATAATCAAGTGTCTAATTATATTTACACATACATGTATCTAGGTTCCCAGTGTTTTATACAGTATACCTCCATCATCGTAGTGAACTATATTTCCCATCTACAACACTGTTTCAAGAACATCTCTGTTATATTGCAAAGCCGTGAATTGGTGTAGACAATTAAGCTGCAAATTCTTTGATTTTCAGGGACATTACCTTGTAGTTTTCAAATTAATTCGTTCTTTGATAGTTTGAGCTGAAGGTGCACTTGTAGTTCTATAAAGGATATTCAACATTTAATGTAAATCGGCGCATCAGTACCATACAAGATTTACTACCCTACATTATCTTTTATTGTCGAACGATTGAATTACATCGACGACTTTACGTAATGCAACTCCACCACGCACATTTTTCCCATTAGCAAAAATGGAACGGAATGTTTATTTGTAAAACAATAAACGGCGAGAAAACATCCATATCTTTTTTTTTTATTTTTGCTCCGAGCACTCTTCCTCTCCCTGAATATTTGCTTGTATTCCGTTTGATAGTGTCTGCACAGATTGTCTGTTTAAATTAACATACGCTTTTCCTAGGCTTTAACAAATAAGGACCAAACTGCAACAACATGTATAGTCTACGCTAAGGTTTTGCTCAATGCGTGAATAATGCATAAATTACGGTTTCTTAAAGAACTAAAGAAGCTCAATATTCTGGTATTTTACCGATGACTAATCATTCTTTCATATGAAAAACAAGATGTGTTTGTGAAACACTGATGCCCCCGTATGGCAGCTTATGGCGAAGGTTAAAGTTTCTCAAATGCAAGTCAAAATCCAGGCCAAAAGATAAAAAATGTTAAATTTGAAAGCCCTAGCTGCAACTGTTCAAAAGTTATGGCGAAGGTTAAAGTTTTTTAAAAGTAAGTAAAACATCAAGGTCAAGGTCATAGTTGTTGGTATCCAAAGGAAGGTGATGTCACAAGGATTACATATGTAAAGTATGAAAGCCCTAGCACCAACCATTCAAAAGTTATGGCCAAGGTTAAAGTTTTTCAAAAGTAGGTCAAACTCCTCGGTCAAGGTCAAAGGGTCAAAGAGTTGATATCCAGAGGAAGGTCTTTTCAGAAGGAATACACATGTGAAGTTTGAAAAACCAAGCACAAACTGTTCAAAAGTTATGGCCAAGGTTAAAGTTTTTCAAAAGTAGGTCAACTCCAAGGTCAAGGTCAAAAGGTCAAAGTTTTTGGTATCCCAAGGAAGGCCTTGTCACAAAGAATACACATGTGAAGTTTGAAACCCCAAGCACCAACTGTTCAGAGGTTATGGCCAATGTTAAAGTCTCATAAAATTTTGTAAAAGTGGGTCAAACTCCAAGGTCAAGGTCAAAAGGTCAAATATGATGGTACCCAAAGAAAGGTCTTGTCAAAAGGAATATGCATGTGAAATATGAAAGTCATAGCTCCAACCAATCAAAAGTTATGGGCAAGGTTAAAGTTGACAACAAACAGACAGACAAACAGACAAACAGATAAACAGACAAACAGACAGACAGGACAAAAACAATATACCCCCGGGATCTTTCGATCGGGGGGGGGGGGCATAAAAATATATTCTCTGAAATATAGTATAAACACAGGCTAATAAGCAACTAGAAGCTTATATTGCAGCACCGTTCTTTACATTCCTGAAAGCCAACTGAAGTTAAACTTTTGGAAAAGAACATTATTTAAATACAAAATCAAGATCATATCTTAACATTTAATTGAAATAGAATTAGAGATGTTTATGTAAAATATATCTTCGAAGTTGACAAATTAGAGAAAACCCATCAAAAAGAATTGTTTTGTGACTGGCTATTAATAATGTGGACATGTCTGGTAAAATATATCAAAAGAAAGTGAAGCTTACGAATCAAATTACACAAAAAAATTATTGTAAGAAATTTAATAATATCCTTATGTTCGCATGTGATTTTATTCAAAGTGGAAAAAAAGCTTCTTTAGAGGAAGAATATTAGAAACATCAGCTAATATACATTATTTCACTGTGTGTCATTACAAATATCATTTTGTAAATTTAAGAAAGAAATCATTTGAAAGATAACAAAGCTTAATCATCACTTGTATATTTTTTTTATTCACGTCTAAATCATTCAAAGGAAAAACCTGCAGTGCATTCAAAGAGGCTTTTAAGAGAGTATCTCTACATAATGAACGCGCAATTGATTT